CTACTGTTGTTGAGAAAAATGTAGTTAGCATGATGGCATCGTTGCAACAAGAAATTGAGTCTAAATATAAAATAGAACAAGATGATTTTATTTGGAATAATGAAACTGTAACAAGAGATATAGTATTTATTCATGACACTTCTGAATTTATTTTTAGTATTTTAATGGAAAGAGGTTTAGATCCTCTTTCCAGTATGGTACATGTATCCATTGATGGAAGTCAAGGATTTTTTAAAGTAATTGTAAATGTCTTTGACAAGACCAATAAAAATGAGATACACATCAACAGTGGAGTTAAGAAGTGTTTTATACTTGCTATTGTTGAAGATATTTCTGAAGACCATGGAAACCTGCAGAAAATCTTGAATAGATTAAATCTAGATGATGTTACCTTGCATTTGATTTAAATGCCTTACCCTAGATGTCACCTTGCATTTGTCACCTTGCATTACCCTAGCAATACCCTAGATGTCACCTTGCATTTGTCACCTTGCATTACCCTTGCAATGTCACCTTGCATTTAAATGCCATACCCTAGATGTCACCTTGCATTTGATTTAAATGTGCTAACAGCATTTTCAATTTATCTTCTCTAAATATGCCTGCTTACGGTGTGAAGGTGAATGTATCCTAGAAAACTATATTCCAAGAACGTTAGGTTCTTTTGATCATTGGTACAAGTTATTTGTTGAAAATGGGGCAAAGCAATTGCAGATGAAAGACTTTAAAAATGCGATTAGTCCTTGCTTTGTTTATTTTGATAAAAATCCTGAAGTTGAAATAATCACTTAATTCTACCACCAGAATTACATCTTATGGGGATAGTGACACTACTTGGTAGACTACTTTTAGATCATTGGCCTCTGTTTACGAATTGGCTCAAAGAGCATAAAATTTTACTTAGTTAATTTTATTTTACGAGGTTATTACGGGATAGGCTTTGATGGCAATAATGCCACAAAACTTTTAGAAAAAGTAGATATTTTAGAAAGAAATATTTTTTTTCATCTCAAACTAATTCGATACCTATTGTTCATTGTCTCAGAAAGATTTCGAAACTTAAAGAGTGCACATTTGAACAAGAATTAGGCAGTAATGTTTCTTCAGTTATTGAAGAGTTCAAAGTATCATTTTTTGACCTACAGCAGTATGCAACAATACATTTAAATGCAGAGCTGAATGTTACTTGGAAAGTACATATAATGATTTGTCATAATCTCCCGTTTGTGAAATTTAATTCTTGTTTTCTTGGATCATATGCTGAACAGACTAGAGAGGCTGTTCACAGCGCCTTTAAACCACGTTGGTCTTGATAAAAAAGAAGGATTGGGCATATAGATTATTGTAAATGATTAAAATCATGATTGCATAGAAAAGATGTAAATATTTCAATATATAAGTAGTTGCGTTAATATTTTTATTGTATTGTTTTTTCCTTGTTATTTTTCCTTTGTATGATTACTATAAGGGACTCTGATGTATGAGAAGTTAAAATCATTTTAAGTTTAAAGTTATATATTATATTATAATACTTTAAAGAGGATAATCAAGGATATTGATTTTTAAATTAATAATAGAAGGGGTTATTTTTTTAGGGGGTAACTTTATCGCTTTAAGGGGGTAAATAGGGTTAAAAAATTAAGTTTTTTTGGTACTTCTGATCTACTTTAGATCCAATACACAAAAATAACATATTTAAGCAGCATTTATCTTTATATAAAAAAAAAAAATTAGAGGTGGGGAGAAGTTTAACCTGGCAGTCTTTATGGCACACAGTGAAGTGCATTAAGTACTTTTGTATATTAGCACTTTTGTTACAAGATTTTCGTTGCATCCTAAAAATATTGCAAGTAGAAAAAAAATAAAGATAATTTTAAAAAGTTCTATGAATTTTCCGTGACTTTCAATGAAAATTTAGGAATTCCATGACTTTTTCCATGACCAAATAAATTTCCATGACATTTCCATAACCAGTGGCCACCCCGTACCATTGCAGTAACTAAACTTGTAAAATATTTTAGTAACTAAAATTGTAAAGTTTGCAAAACTTCATTTACCATTATCTTTATATTTTTACTTTTTATTCATTTTAAATTAAAAGATTTTATTTTTTACTTATTAAAAAAAAAAAAACTTGAAAAAAAATTTTAATCAACTTTTCATTATAATTGTTAATAGGAAAACTGGTAGCATTTTAAACTGCAATTTCAGCCTAAAAAGATTTTAAGGCAAAGACTGACACAATACATTGATTTTAATTAAAATCAAATGTTTCAGATACAAAAGCCTGAAAACTGACTATCAAGCATTTCCAGGAAACAAGTTTTTGAGTTTTTTGACTTGTATGTCCATGCATAAGTATTTGATTTTAGACGACTTAGTCATGGTTGTTTGTAAATTTTATTATATTAAGCATTGTGGAAAAAAATAAGTTTCAAAAACAAAGAAATGCAAAACTAACAAAATAGGAAATTAAAATAAATTTAAATTGAAAATTAATAATTTAAATAATTTGTGAATTCAGTGTAGCTAAGAAAATATACAAACTATAGGAACTCTTTTATTTGGAATTAGTTTGGACATAATAAAAAGATTTTATCAGCGTATTATGCCCAAAAAAAACCTTCAGATATTAAATTTTTTTTTGCTTCAGGTTTTTTCAATATTTAAAGAAACATTTCTATTTTATATATGATTTTCAAAATCTTTTTACTACACCTAATAGTGAATCTAAAGAACACCATTTTGGAGTCTTTCGATCACTTTTGCTCATCGACATTAACATGAATTTAGTAAAAATCTTTTAAAAAAGTGCTTTAACCCATTATAGATCCTAGATTTAATCGGTTCTGACGTATATTAACTATATATAGTTGCCAAAATACAATATTTCTATCAATTTTCATAAAAAATACTAGAATTCCGACCAAGAAAGAGCATATAATTAAGAAAAATTGCCAATAAACAATCAGAACAGATCATATCATTAAACTATGATGCTCATTTCACCTAAACAACAAATTTATTAAAAATCTTACTCAAATTTGGTCAAGCAGTTGTGATTTTATGAAGATTATTTTTTTGTTAAAAAAAGAAACTTCAGTCTGGGTTTTTTGGAAACAAACATTTATATTTTATGATACAGCAAAATTTATCATTTTAATTTTCTTTGTCTTATCATAATTCACAGACCTGAACATTTAACAGAAATCTGTCATAGTCAACAAAATATGATATAGCCTACAATATTTTAAAATTGTTTTAACTACACCAAGTACTGCCTTTTTGCTTCTTTACTGCCATTGATTTAGCTTCAACCAGATCTTTAAGTCGTTTTTCAATCTCTTTGACTATAATGTCACTTTCAAGTAGAGTAGATTTGAATTCTGTTTGCTTGGTTGTTATTTTTGGCAATAAAATTGGATAAGGCAAGCAAAAAAAAAAGGTAAGCAAAAGCAAAAAAAAAGCAAAAAAAAAAAACAGTTTTAAGTCGACATTTAAAAGAATGATTTTCCTATATTTTATTTGTTATTTTTTAAAGAGAAAAGCGAAAATATAAATTGCTATCTAATTGTAAAATATATTTGTATAATTTTAACATAACAAATATATATTGTCCCTATTTGAATTCATTTATGTAATGCATGCATATATTTTTTTATATAACTTTTTTTAGTATGCAATTATACTTATTTGCTCATCAATATATGCATGAATAGCTTACTTGGATAAGACATTTACTTCATACACGCAACTTCCCAAATTTATTTTGTTTTTCTACCTGCCCCCTTCCTTTTGGTCTATTATAATATTCGTGAAATATATTTCACGATTATTATAATAGATTATTATTAACAATACTTATTAATAATTGCATAATTACTAATATTTATTGTTAATAATTAGATAAAGAGTAGGGTAGAGGGGGTGGGTAGAACTAACCAAACAGAGCTGAATGTTAAAAAGCAACCGGTATCCAAAAATACAAAGCACTAAAAATTGGTGATAAAAAACACACTCGAATAGAAAAGGTAATATGAAACATTTAAGACTATGTGAAAAATGTGTAGACAGCATAGCCTAATTGAAGCTTAAAAACTATTTATATATGTGTATGCGCTTTATTTAAAAAATACACTGAGAGGCTTAAATGATTAAAGAAATCTGAATGTGAAGTGATGCGTATCAATCAAAAACATACAACAGAAAGATTTTTTATATACAAAAAAGATAAATGGTTATAAAATAAATATATGACCAGCGATATTTAAAAGAAAAAAAGAAATGGATAGTGGTGGGATTCAAACCTCAAACATTCAGTAAATTTGCGTATACTGATGAACAAATAAATATAATTATATAATAAAAAAAGTAATAAAAATATTTGCATACATTACATAGACCTATTCATATAGTGACAATATATACTTGTTACATTAAAATTATACAAATATATTTTACAAACAGACAGTGATTTAGATTAGTCAGTGATTTCCTCCTTAAAAAAAAAAACAAAAAAAAAAAAAAATATATATATATATATATATATATATATATATATATATATATATATATATATATATATATATATATATATATATATATGTATATAGGAAAACCATTCTTTTTAATCTTGACTTTTTTAAACAAAAGAAACTGGATAAGGCTTCCCCAAAACCAATTTCGTTGCTAAAGATAACAATTACCATAAAGTAACGAAAATAAAACAGTACACAAATTATTTAAATTACTAATGTTTTTTTGTTTTTTTCTATTTAAGTTTACTTTAATTTCATATTTTGTTAGTTTTGCTTTCTTTGCTTTTGAAATTAGCCTTTTCCCCAACATCTAATATAATAAAACTTGCAAAGGGCTGTGACCAAATTGTCTAAAATAAAATACTCATGCGTCGACATACAAGACAAAGATTTGCTTGTGTTTCCTGGGAAGGCTTGACTATTGTTACCGTAACTATTATTATTATTTTTTTATTATATTACCCTGTCTCTTCAATGTTAGTCAACCAACTGGAATCGGAACTCCAAAATTCTTTACTTGAATGAATGGTACAGTACTTGTGAATTTTCTGATAACTTATTTGTAACTGTTTTAAAGAAGGAAAATCAGCAATATTATTTAAATCAATTGGAAAACTCTCTCCATTACCAACGGTAGAAGAAGACTTCAAAGAATTCAAAAGCTTTGACGGAATTGTTTGACGAGACGTGGGATCTTTACTCGAGGAATTTCTGAAGAAATAAAAAACACAACAATAAAATTTTTTTACTTTTGATAAATTTTTTAATTTTACATAGCAGAGAACTTTTAAGCAGATTTTTGTTATTTCACAAACAAAACAATGAGTAAATTAATGTAGTGATGGAAGGCAGTGGTGGTAGGTATATATATATATATATATATATATATATATATATATATATATATATATAATATATATATATATATATATATATATATATATATATATATATATATATATATATATATATATATATATATATATATATATATATATAATATTGGAGTTGATAATATTTTATATATATATATACATATATATATATATATATATATATATATATATATATATATATATATATATATATATATATATATATATATATATATATATATATATATATATATATATGTATATATATATATATATGTATATATATGTATATATATATATATATATATATATATATATATATATATATATATATATATATATGTATATATATATATATATATATATATATATATATATATATATATATATTATATATATGTATATATATATATATATATATATATATATATATATATATATATATATATATATATATATATATATATATATATATATATATATATATATATATATATATATATATATATATATATATATATATATATATATATATATATATGTATATATATATATATATATGTATATATATATATATATATATATATAAAATATTATCAACTCCAATATTATCAACTCACACAATAAAAAACACCAATATTATCAACTCACACAATAAAAAAGTATTATCTAATGTTTCCAACACAATTGTTCCAACGTGTAACTGCCGGCAACCTTCACAATGTCCTTTGCAAGGTACGTGTCTTAGTAAAAATATAACTTACATCTGCAATGTTAAAACATCACCACAGGATAGTGGTTTAAATTATATTGGTTTAACAGAGCACACCTTTAAAGATCCCTGGTACAAGCATAAGAACTCCTTTCAATACGAAAGTAAAGCTAATGCCACAGAACTTTCTAAATATATCTGGGAAATGAAAAAAAAGGGATTTCCAAATCCTATTCTTACGTGGAAAATTATTGATAGGGCAGAACCTTTTAAACCTGGAAGAAAGTTATGTAACCTTTGTTTAACGGAAAAATACCATATCATTACATCACCTTTGAAACTATTAAATAAGCGAAATGAATTAATATCTAAATGTCGCCACGAAAACAAATTTGTTATCTGCAACCTTAACGTCATCTAAGCTAACACTGTATTGTATTTTTGTATATAATTTTTGTTGTTGTTATGGTTATTTGTAATGTCTGATGATCGCATATAGCGTTAAACTCTGAGTTATGTTACAAATTTAATTGTATTTTATTATTATTTTAATATAATATATATATATATATATATATATATATATATATATATATATATATATATATATATATATATATATATATATATATATATATATATATATATATATATATATATATATATATATATATATATATATATATATAAAGGCCTGGGTGAGAGTAAATGAGTGCAAGAGCAGAGAAAAGCTCTTTGAAAATGAACAAGCTGAGCTATGCAAACTGTTCCTCTAAACAGCTTCTTACGAGAGCTTTTAATTTTAGCATGAGCTATTTGTTGATTCATTAAAAATTGCTTTTAAAATATAAAATATGGTTTTATACTTGTTACAAGCATATGTTTGTATCGCTAATGTTACAAGAATATATACATAACAAGCATCATTTATTATGCTGTGAAAAAATTCTATAGACAAGCATTGTTTTTGAGTTTTTACACAAGCTATCCATTTATTTATTAACAACATTACTTATTTGATAAAAAATTTGACAAAGAGCTATAAGGGTTTTCTGCTTATAAAAAAAATTTTATATATTTTTATTGTAATAGAATGCAGGCCACAATAAAACAATAATTCTTAATAATGGATTATTCCATGCAATGGAGCAAAGGTCCCTCATGGACTTTCTCAGATTTTATTGAAACTTTTTGATTTTGTACATATGAGAAAAGCATGTTTTGAAAGTTTTAGATCAATATCTAATATGGTTCTTGAGAAAACACTATTTAAGTAGTGGGCTATTGTGTATGAAATTTCGCTCTACAAGCAAAAAGGTTTTTTTCATCATTTTTAACAGCTAATAACTTTTGAACAAGTTGGTTTTGTACTTCAACTATTTTAAGATAGCAAGTATGCTACAGATACTTTTAAAAGAACAAAAAATTTAAATTCTGACATCTTAACTTTTTCCATAATGGCGGGCATTAAGGAAAAAGTTGAGATGCCATAATTTTTATGCCAATGGGCATAAAAATTATCAAAAGTTGATATTTTTGTTTTGGGATTGAAATTTTTTGTGATTTTAAAGAGCTTAATTTTAAAAACAAGTTCAAAAATTAATACAAAAATTGTTCATTGATCTACACATGGTGATCTACACATGGTGATCTACACATGGTGATCTACACATGGTGATCTACACATGGTGATCTACACATGGTGATCTACACATGGTAATCTACACATGGTGATCTACACATGGTGGATAAATAATTAAAAAAAAAAAATCAGTTGATTGAAAAGCTGCATTCCAAAGTCATCAAAACGAGTCGGAGCAAGATTGTTGTTACTTAAGATGGCATTTTTTTCATATTTCTTATATGTATCCATCAAAGAGTGTTAATAAAAACCAAAAATAATTAATGGACACTTACTTATAATCCTAAAAGATAGTCTCTAAAGGTCAGGTTAATTTTCCATAAGATTATTACTTTTTAAAAGTTAAGTTATTGTTTCATTTAATTTTAAAATACTGGTATGTCAATCTAAAAAGTACTTATAAATCAAATAAATTGTTGTATTATAGAACCAATTAATAATGAGTAGTATGCCTGAGCTTTCTCCTTTCTGTATTGGTAAAGCATTAAATGAATAGTGCTATCTTATCAAGTTTAACAAGTCTAAAAAAAGTAAATGTTACCAAGAACTGTCTAGACTAAACCAAGAGCTTCTTTGAGAAGCAAATTAAATCCCATAGATTTTATTTGTAAGTATCACGAGAAAGATGTTGAGTTATGAGATTAAACATCAAAGATTTTATTTGTAAGTTTCACGAGAAAGATGTTGAGTTATGAGATTAAACATCAAAGATTTTACTTGTAAGTATCACGAGAAAGATGTTGAGTTATGAGATTAAACATCAAAGATTTTATTTGTAAGTATCACGAGAAAGATGTTGAGTTATGAGATTAAACATCAAAGATTTTATTTTTAAGTATCACGAGAAAGATGTTGAGTTATGAGATTAAACATCAAAGATTTTATTTGTAAGTATCACGAGAAAGATGTTGAGTTATGAGATTAAACATCAAAGATTTTATTTGTAAGTATGACAAGAAAGATGTTGAGTTATGAGATTAAACATCAAAGATTTTATTTGTAAGTATCACGAGAAAGATGTTGAGTTATGAGATTAAACATCAAAGATATTGTTGTAAGTATCACGAGAAAGATGTTGAGTTATGAGATTAAACATCAAAGATTTTATTTGTAAGTATCACGAGAAAGATGTTGAGTTATGAGATTAAACATCAAAGATATTATTTGTAAGTACCACGAGAAAGATGTTGAGTTATAAGATTAAACATCAAAGATATTGTCGTAAGTATCACGAGAAAGATGTTGAGTTATGAGATTAAACATCAAAGATTTTATTTATAAGTATCACGAGAAAGATGTTGAGTTATGAGATTAAACATCAAAGATTTTATTTGTAAGTATCACGAGAAAGATGTTGAGTTATGAGATTAAACATCAAAGATTTTATTTGTAAGTATCACGAGAAAGATGTTGAGTTATGAGATTAAACATCAAAGATATTATTTGTAAGTATCACGAGAAAGATGTTGAGTTATAAGATTAAACATCAAAGATTTTATTTGTAAGTATCACGAGAAAGATGTTGAGTTATGAGATTAAACATCAAAGATATTATTTGTAAGTATCACGAGAAAGATGTTGAGTTATAAGATTAAACATCAAATATATTGTTGTAAGTATCACGAGAAAGATGTTGAGTTATGAGATTAAACATCAAAGATTTTATTTGTAAGTATCACGAGAAAGATGTTGAGTTATGAGATTAAACATCAGATTAATGAGATTAAACATCAAAGATATTGTTGTAATCCTTTTAACAAGCACGCAAAAAAATACAAATACTTTTTGGTAATAAATAAATGTGAAGCAATATTTAATAATTATTATCTTTTACTTTGTAGATTCTCTTAGAATTATCAGTCTTTCATATTTTGGTTTAAATATCTGATTTTGGTTGAAATATCTGGTTAAAAATTTGCACTAGTTGCAGAAAAACCCTGCATTCCAAACATCATAATGCAAAAGAAAACAAACTCTAAAAAAAATAAATTTATTTTGACAACCTTACATAAAAAGATCTTAATTTAAGTATTGCAAGTTTTGGATGCTCACCTCTCAAACTTGTTTCAAAAAAAGAATTGTGTAAAACTTATAGCATAAGAGCTCTTACACAAAAGGCCAATGTGCTAGGTCTAGAAATAGCTGCACTTGGTGAAATTGAATCACCTTCAAAAAAATGTTTGAAAAAAATAAACAAAGATTTAGACAATAATATGATTCAAATAATATGATTCAAATTTGACAAAAAAGGGATATTATCAAAACTTTCCTGAAAAATCAAATAAAAATAAAAGAATTAGAATATCTTATTTTTTTCTTTTTTCTTTTTTTATTATTCTGATTCAGTCCCAACAAGGCTGCAAGCAACCACTATTAAGTTGGAAGTTACTAGGAAAAAAAAAATAGAGCTATAGAGCAAGGAAATGGTTGACAGAAGACTTAGAAAGTTGAAGGTTGTATGAGTCAGGAAAATATGAAGATG